AAAAAAAAAAAAAAAAAAAAGAATATTTTTCAAAATGCAATTTGATGGAATTGTTGTTATAATTTGTCATAACTTATTATCTGCCTATAAGAAAAATCAGGATTCTGGGGAAAGGCCCAAGTTTCTGTAACAGTTGAGATTTCCTCCAGATGTAGTTCTCCTTTGGGGTTAATCCTTCTGGATCCCCGGGTGAAAGGGTCTGTTTGTTTTGCTCAAAGGAGGAAGCAAAAACCAGCTGTCTGGTTTCAGGAACTGGAGATTTTCTGGGCCTCCCTTCTTGACCTCAGGTGGGGTGGGGCAGGGTTCCCTGGCAGGGGTGAGTGCACACTACCCAGTGTTCCTTTCCCATCATGGCCGCGCGGTCCCACCCAGGTCGGGACCGCGCCTCCTACCACCCGCCTGAGACCCAGAAATGCAGGGCAGCCAAGGCTCCCATGTAGCACCGGAGAGCCTGAACTCTAGATTCAGGCCACCGTAGCACAGGCCCTGGCTTGACCGCTTGATTCTGTGTGACCTCAAGCAGTGACTTAACCTCTCTGTGCCTCAGTCCTCTCCTCTGTCATAGAAAGATACCAGACAGTTTTGAGAGAAAATTGAGGTAGTGTGCATCACACGTTTAAAATAGTACTCAACGCATATTAAGCTTTCAGTGTGTTGTTATTGTTACGATTATGACCATCATTTCGTTACGTCCATCTCAGAAAAAGACCCTGATGCTCTGATCGTTCACAGTGACAGTTTTTCCTTTTTAGCTGCTACAGCCCAGCTGGGCAATAGGTACTGCACCTAGACACCCTGGGTCCTGGTTATTTGTAAGGGCCCTGAGGTCCCAGCCAGAGCAGAGATGGGCTCCTGGGGAACAGCCTTGACTGCATCCATATGCAAAGGGACTGCCCCCCTGTGTGGCCAGCCCCTGCATTCAGCATGGCAGAGACAGTAATCAGGCATATGGGTAGACAGAATGGGAAAGAGGTCACAGAGCACCTGGGGGATTCCTAGGTCCCACTCGGCAGACCTCAACCTTCTGAGCCAGCAGGGCTGAGGATGAGCCTACAACTGCGTGTGGCCTTCTGGGCCTGCATCCTCACTTAGGGTTCTCAAAGCCTCTAAAGCACTGTCCTTAAACCTTTGTTCCGCTGACTTTCATTTGGGTCCTTTAAAAATCAAAGCGTACAAACAGCCAGCCCAACTGCCTCTCCTGTTAGCAGCTAGAGCTTTTAGGTCCTGGCACACCTGTAGGAGTGGGTCCCCTGAAGGCTGTCCAAGGCCATGTCCTTGGAGAGTGTCCCCTGAACAGGCCCATGTGGGAGAGCCACAGCCCAGCCATAACATGACACAGTTCGCACGGCAGACCAATCGGAGTGGGTGCATGCACAGGCTCTGTGTCCTATGCTGTCGACAGGGGAGGGCCTTCTGCTTACCAGTGAGCAATATTTGAGAGATGCCTACATCTACAGGCGAGTCCAGAGCTTAAAGGTCTGTCCTCTAAGCCACAGTCCACTACTCCCATGGGCAAGGGACTGCCGTGTTCCTATCAGCTCTTCACCCTGACAACACAAAGGACCCCCGATCCCAGGGGAAGAGTTGGTTTAAGCTCTCAGAAGGGGTGTGTGTGTGTGTGTGTGTGTGTGTGTGTGTGTGTGTGTGTGTCTTGTCTTTTTTCAGGATCAAGAAGAGGAGGAGGAGGAAGAGGGAGGGGCACCTTGAGGGGAAAGTCTGTTGCTCGTAATGATTAATCTCCAAGCCTCTGGATTCCAGGGGCCCACTGTGAATCTGGAGAGGCTGCTCAGTCAGCTCTTGGACTTTGTGCAGTGGGCAATGGCTGTGCAATACTCAGAAATAACTCCAGTGTCAGCCCTTGCCAATATACTAGAAAACTGGCCATTTCACCAAGAGCACCTCATACAGTAACTGGAAAGAAAAATAACTCACGTTCTCAGGAACATTAGTCATCTAGAAGCAACATGATTAGTGATACCTGGAATATTCACATGGCGTTCACTAAAATTGGGTTCTTGGGATACTTTTATCAAGAACTGACATGGGCTGGATCCTTCATTGCTGGGGTACCAGGTGCAGTGTGAGTGCACAGCAGGGCTACCCTGGGTTTCCTTTGCTGTTAAAGGATATCTCAGGCAGTGGGGTTCCCAGAGAGTTCCTCGGTGGAGTCTTTCAGCCTCCCCAGCCTCTCCATGCCTCCCCCAGGCGTTTCCACCAGCTGCTTCACTGGTCTTGCTGCGTCCACTGTTACCCCATAACCCAGGCTCTACTCAGCAGCCAGATTGATCTGTGAAAAATGGAAGTCACATCATGTTATTTTGCCTCCTGTTGTTCTTAGAATTATTGACAAGGACCTGCAGATCCCGCCCCTGCCGTGTGGCCCCCTCTCACCCTCCCTTGATACAAAGCAGCCTCCCAGGCCTTCTTTATGTTCTCGAATAAGGCTGGCAAACTATGACCGGCCAGTGAAATCCAGCCTGCTGCCTGCTTTTTGTAAATAGAGCTTCATTGGAACACAGCCACTCACACCTTTGTGTTTACATATTATCTATAGCAAGACAGTGGCAGAGTTGAGTAGTTACACATTGACGAGCCGGCTTTTTAAGAAAAACTTACACACCACTGTTCTGAAATCACAACAAGCTTCTCCCCATCTTGGGGCCTTTACACTTGCATTACCCACTGCCTGGCTGGCTCCTGTGGATGACTTGGGTTTCAGCTTTTCGAACTCTTGGCCACCCACCCACTTCCCTGTCCCAGTCTCTTTCCTTCCCTCATCACTACCTACAATTACATACTTACTTACTGTGGATGGTCCCTCCCCAAGAGCAGAATCTCATCTGCTTGTTCTATCCTGTGTGCAGGGACCTAGCACAGTGTGTGGCTCGTGGTAGGTGCTGAATGAATGTTTGTTAAATGAGTCCATGCGTTCAACTACACGGGGCTCTGCACCTGTTCCAGCCAGTGCTACTTCCCTGTGGGGCAGCCCGCCGTCAGGGATCTTAGTCACACACTTGCTCCTTGTGCACCGTGAGCGAAGGAGCGGGGAGAGCATGAGTTGCCTGTGCAGGGGTGTATGGAGTGTATATGGATTGAGCTGAGAGAGAGTAGTTGGCAGGAAGCGCGCCCGTGTCAGCAGCCGCTTATATTTATTATATGCCTGCTGGGCTGGAGAGCTGCCCAGGCAGCTCACTGCAACACCTTGTGTGTTTATATAGCACATGGGACACTGGTGCAATTCAGAAGGTTGGACATTGGTGCGATTCAACCCAACAAGTACTTATGATGAGCATCCTCGATGTCCAGAGCATTAGGCTAGGCCTAAGTGGTAGTGCTTAAGACCACAGACCCTAGGGTCAGATGTCCTGAGTTCAGATCCACCTCCATTATCTACCAGCTGTGTAATTTGGGGCAAGATGCTTAACTTCTCTGAGCCTCAGTTTCTCGTCAGTAAGATGAGGATAATAGAACCAACTCCATAGTCCTTCTGGAGATGGAAAGAGGTGATGCAGAGGAAGCACTGAGCAAAGGGCCCACTGCTTAGTATGTGCTCACCATGAGCATCATCATTCTTATCCTCAAGGATCACATTCTCTGGTTGGACAGAGGCATAATGTAGTGGAAAAGGGCTTGGTCGCTGGGATCAAACAACCTGGATTCAAATTCTGGTTCTACCATTGGGAGCCTGAATAAATTAATTTACCTCTCTGCGCCTTAACTTTCTCATCTGTAAAATAGGGATAATAATAGTACAAGCTAGGATCCTTAGGTCCAAATGAGTCAATAAATATTTAACTCTCTGAGTCCACGGCTGTTTCCCAGTCATCATTTGTAGTGTGTTCGCTTCTATCATTATAATTCCCCAGAGGGGAGTCAGTGAAGAATGTTGAGTGATAGAATACAAAATTAAATGCACTAAAAAACTAGTTAGGGGGCTTCCCTGGTGGGACAGCGGTTGAGAGTCCACCTGCCGATGCAGGGGACATGGGTTCGTGCCCCGGTCCGGGAAGATCCCACATGCTGTGGAGCGGCTGGGCCCGTGAGCCATGGCCGCTGAGCCTGTGCGTCCGGAGCCTGCGCTCCGCAACGGGAGAGGCCACAACAGTGAGAGGCCCGCGTACCGCAAAAAAAAAAAAAAAAACTAGTTAGGCAAACAAAGCTTAACACATTTGAACAGCATTAAAAGGACCTATGGGTCTTCCCTGGTGGCGCAGTGGTTGAGAATCTGCCTGCTAGTGCAGGGGACACGGGTTCGAGCCCTGGTCTGGGAGGATCCCACATGGCGCGGAGCATCTAGGCCCGTGAGCCACAACTACTGAGCCTGCGCCTCTGGAACCTGTGCTCCGCAACAAGAGAGGCCACGATAGTGAGAGGCCCGCACACCGTGATGAAGAGTGGCCCCCGCTTGCCACAACTAGAGAAAGCCCTCGCACAGAAACGAAGACGCAACACAGCAAAAATAAATTAATTAATTAATAAACTCCTACCCCCAACATCTTTAAAAAAAAAACCTATGAATAATATGTGGAATGTACTATGAGCGGTCCAGGAGCCAGGGGAAGGGAGGGAACAGGTAGATGGCATTCCATGGTGATATTTATAGAGGAGGTAGGGCTTCAGCTAAGCCTTCAAGTGTGAGGAAGGGAAACAAAAGACAACAGAAAGCCAGAGGCATCTGGGGCTGCCTCTGTCCTCCATTAGTTAATTCTTATTATCACCCTCATTACAGAGGCATTTTGGCACAGAAGAGTTATAACTTAACTTTCTGTGAATGAGTTAAAATGCAGATCCCTGAGCCCCACTCCTAGAGATTCTGTAACTGATGTGTGCTGGGGCCTAGGAATCTGCAGTTTTAATAAGCATCCAGGTGGTTCTGTGGCACCTGGTCTGGTACCATCCCTTACTAAAGCCTGACTTGCTGACTCCTCTGAGTCAGCAATCTGACCCAAAGGCTGCACTGTCCCCTGCCGTCCCCCATGACATATCTCTTGTTCTCTAGTTTGGAGGGTCTCCTTCGTCCCCTCTGATTCTCCCCTTATTCTGCAAATTCCATTTCTGATGTTTGCAGACATTACCACCTCTGCACCTGAGCTGTGTTTGAACAGCTGGCCAGGAAGGGAGAAAGTCTGAAAGAGATGGACTTGGTGCATCCGGTAGAACAACAACTCAGCTAGGAGCTTTGCTGTCAAATGGGGGCGGAGGGTTTGTCTTTTTTTGTTGTTTTTCGTTTTGTGTGTTTGGTTGGTTTCTTCTTTCTAGGTCTTTTGTTTTGGGGAGTGAGTTTGATTTGTTTGGTTTTGGTTCTGAACATCTGAGATTTCCCCAAGTTTAGGTGGTTGTTGAGACCAGGTCCTTACTTGGTTTTTACCAGGAGGGTCCTGCTCACCATTCTGAATGACTGATCAAATGACACAGTGTCTCCTACTGACTCATCTGTACTGAGCATTTACTGTGCTTTCTCCATATTGGTTCCTGAACCCTCACAAGAACCCACTGAGGGGGAGAAAGTTTTTTTTATCACTTGATAGGTTGAAGAAACTGAAGTGATCTTGGCAGTATGAGCTGGATGGATGGGCAGAAGGCAGGGGTGTTTGGGTGCTAGCATTTTAGCAGTAGGCTGGGAGATCTTGATCATTGGAGAGACCAGGTTGCTTTTAAGTTGTGTTGTGTTCTTTCTTCCATGGCACTTCTCCCCCAGACTCCTCCTTGTGTGATGTCATGAATCCAAAGTACCCTCGCTACTTGGGTTTATTCCTGAGGCCTAGAGATATGAAATCAGGCAAACATGTTGGAGGCCACCTCATAGGTGATTGACCTTGTCTTTTCCTAAAGAAGCCTTCAAGATCTAGCCAAGGTTGACAATGATTTTCTATGAGCCTCAGTGTGTGTCCTTCTGTTGCTTCTCCATTTACTTCCTTTGGTCTCTGTTCTTTCTTATTTC